TTCTGGCGCAGAGAGAGCTCTGTATGCCACCTCTGGCACGCATGTCATAGGTTCATGGATATAGTATATCCCCATGCAGGGGCGGGTTTCAAATTCGTGGGCGCTCGTGGGCGCGTAAGACGCTTCTGCAGATGTACAGAAGTCTCTGAGTGGGTGGGCGAAGCCTCCTGTTGCTGCTGATACTGGTTCGCCCGATCCAGGGTGAACTGGTAGCAACCCACAACTGTCCCCGTGGCTAGAAATGAAGTCTTGTGTGTGCGTTGAAAATAGGGATAGATTCCCCTGAAATGTTAGCCTAGTTAAATAATTTTTTTAAAATGCAATCCTGTCCACAAGCATATGACATCATAAATTATCTGCTAAGCAATTAGTTTAGGCAATTTTCCTATTTATTAAATTATCAATTTATTAGTTTAGACTTCACTAAAGTATCCTTCCCTCCCCCCCCCAATAAAGGGCTTCTCTTCATTTCTGTACCTGATTAAAAATGTAGGTGCAATCTACAAAAAAGATATATTGTGAAGCCACCTTGTAAAAGTGATAAAAGAAGTCTGCTTCTACAACTAAAAACACCAGATTTGTAGTAAGAAGTTGAAGGAAAAAAAATGTGATCTGGCCTGCCTTATGAGGTAAAAAAGAGTGTCAGGCCTAGAAGCCATTTTTTTCGTTGGATCTTCAGGCCTGCCTGAAGACTTGCAAATGATGATCAAAGTATTTTTGGTATAAAATCAGTTCTAAACATTCTTGGGGGAAATAAACAGGAAAACTTACCATGAGAATGGAGGACCAAGCACAATATAGCCCTTCAAACAAAATGAATAACGACAACAAAAAAAGCAAAATAATGTTTCTTGGGACATCCAAATTGCACAAAAGAAAGAGAAAGGAAATTGAAATATTATTCTATTATCAGGAAATACATATATTTGCTAGCTATCATTCAACATGTTATATTAGAATTAGAATAAATATTAGAATACTCTGGCTTTTAGTGGCATATAAAAATAAAATGTTCTCAAGATAAAAGGTTCTATGACATAAATGATTCAAAGTTGTTTGTTATTCCAACTTATTCCAAAGTAACCATCGGTAAAAAAAAGAAGCTGTGATTCAAAAATTGTTTACAATTATGTATATTTTCTGACCAAAAAGGCAACATATTACTAATAGACTATTACTATTCAAGGATGAAAATTTGTGAATTTTCATTCAGAATACATTGTGAAAGTTAATTTTCTGCAAGATAATCCCAAAGGTGCTTTTTTCAAAAGGCAACTGGACTTTCTTTTTCCTTGAAGATGTTTTGCTTCTCCTCCAAGAAGCTTCTTCAGTTCTGACTGAATGATGGAGGATGGAAGGTTTACGTGTATTCCTTATGGTCATCTGATCATTAGGACTCTTTTTGAGAGCTGTTGAGGCCACTTGGAGGTTTATCTGCACCTTCAAGAGTCACCCAAAGAGTGTAAATGGGTGTGGAACCTTCTTGGAACTGCTGAAAGGACTATGTTGTAAACAGAAGATAGGTGGTATTGTATTCCGCCCTGCCACCCCCCATTGAGAGAGGGCTGTTCAGTCTTAATGTAGATGGCCTCTTTGACCCACATTGATCCATATATCAATATATTGTTTCTGTTGCTATAATTCTGTCCCTCACTCCTTTCAAAGAGTGTTGATTCACTTCAATATAGTTGCTGATGTTTCCTTATTTCTATTGCCTTCAAACACTAACAATAGTTAACTGTTTCTAGTTTGTAATGCTTCCTATCAGTTTCAGGTACTTCCATGGCATTGGTTCCCATAACAGGTAGTCCTCAGCTTATGACAACAATTGAGCCCCAAATTTCCATTGCTAAGCAAGACAGTTGTTAAGTGATTTTTGCCCCATTTTACAACTTTTCTTGCCACAGTTAAGTGAATTACTGCACTTGTTAAGTTAGTAACATGGCTGTTAAATGAATCTGGCTTATAGCAAGCAAACTGACTTTGCTTGCTATAAGTCACAAAAGGTGATCACGTAACCCTGGGATACTATAACCGTCATAAATACAGGCCAAGCATCCGAATTTTAATCAGGTGACCGTGGGGATGCTGCAATAGTCATAAGTGTGAAAAATGGTCATAATTTTTCAGTGCTGCTGTAACTTCAAATAGCCACTGAACAAATGGTTATAAGGACTAACTGTATTTTACTAAATACCTGTAATAATGATAGGACTCCCAGATGCTGTTTAAACGGCTTTAATCCAGGTTTAAGAAAACATGAAATAATATATATTAAGCACAGATAAAGCATGAATTGTTTTTAGCTAAAAGCAAGAAATGCTTCAAGTACGTTTCTTATTAAAAATACACTTTTTTTTAAAAAAATCTTTTTATCTAGAACAAATTTAACTGGTAATTTCTGTCTTCAGAACATTAAATAATACATTTTTCTTTCAGAGATATATATGATATAATAATGTACATATTCAGAAGAAATATGGAAAAGTACAGACAACAAGTATTAATGATTACTTAATATGTAGGTTAAACTGAAGTTTTCTTGAAGATAATGGACTAAAATCAATGGATTAGAAATAATACTGATTCCTGATTCCTATTACAATTATTATTACAGTCAGCTCTATTATTTCATGATGGTCTCTTTTATAATATAAGTTCGGAATCAGTCCAATAAATGCAAACAATGAAAACTGATTAGAAGGATATATGATTTATAATTTGGCATACAAGATTTATAGCAGATGATGAAATGAATGTCAATATTGACAGCATTTACTGAGCTGAACATACATGATTTCAATTCAGACTATTGAAAGCAATGTATCTCTGCACATTTCAGAAAAAAAAAACCTCAAAGAACTTAGAAATTAAATTGCTATGAGAATATTTAAAGGAGCCAGATACGCATCTTTCCTTCACATTGTTTTAAAAAATGCATATTTCTTACTGTATAGAAAACTGTCTCACATTTCTTGAAGTTTTGAAAAACTGCCTTGTTTTTTGTTTTGTCAAAATCCTGTTAAGTGCAAAAGTTGCATTATGAAGTTGCATTATACAATTTTAAACTCTGTCACAAAAATGGGGAAACGTTTAAATAAATGCAATATCTCATATAGTTTTATTTTGTCTTGTACTATAAATGCTTGGGAGTAGAAAGTAATCTAAGTCTAGATCTTAAATTCATATACCTAGTATACCTTCTTTTAGGATGGGAAAGGTTGGTCTAGAATTTTTAGTGATAGAATAAAAATTTATCCCAGTAATCATTTGTTATTCTCTGAAATTTTTATTTCATTTCTAAAATCAATTCTTCTCCAAATTCTTATAACAATTTGTTAATTTTTAGAATATATATTTTATATGTGTACATAGTAACTATTTAGTTTATACTTTTATATTATATATAATATTGAGATTAAAATATTTAAGTTCTCCCTGCCATGCAGAGTGTATACAGAAAGTACACATTAAAATACATGTAAATATAATATATACAATATAATGCTGTGCATATAATTTATTTTTTTAAGAAATTAAAAAATAATTTCTTATTTTTTAATTCTTTAAAATGTTTTATTAGCATTACTAAATTAGAGATTGTGAAGATATTTAACATTGTATTTCTTTCTAAAGTTCATGCTTTTTCTTTACTGCTATGGATTTATAGATTTATTTGTTTGTTTGTTTGTTTCTTTATGTTTATTTATTTATATATGTCACTTTCTCTCTACACAAGACCTAAATTAAAAATTATAAAAGTATAAAAACAAGAAAAACAATACTATTAGAATCAAGAAGAGTTAATATCATTGATTAAAATCAATAGCAGGCTTTTTTGTTTATTTTAACATCTGGCATACAGATAAAGTGCCTGTAAACATGGTAATCGGTAATATGGCCCATATGCCAGCCATGAATCTTTGTTATCTAATCATTTCTCATTTTAAAGTTATCCCAAAATTTTGTTGCAAGATGTTTCACACATTAACTCCTGGAAAGGAATTAGCGGGTTATTATCTTCATTGGTTGTCCTTCCATTGGTACGAAAACAGTTTCTCTGACATTCCTATAGTTTTCTTGATTTCATAAGTCTCTCTCAATACATTTCCTGGCAAGAAACTCAAATGTTTCAAACAATCAGAAGAATGATTTATCTGCTGTTCGTTTTAGTTCTCTCTTTGTAAATTCTCCAGCCATCTGGTACTGCCATATTGTAATGTGTTTGGGGAAAAGGTATTCACCAATCCTAATATAATGAATGCAGTTCCATGGAATCATAAAGTATATATTATTTAAGATTCAGAGCTTGAATGCAAATGTCTGTTTACTGTGATAATTTGCTGTAAAATTAATATAATATTTTATGGACACATTTGTTTAACTGTGGTTTATAGAATAAATTAAATTGGTTGGTTGCATACAAGACAAGAGATGAACCATTCAGCTTCCAAAGACTTTTATGTTAAAGTTGACAATCTATATTTTATGCAAAGTTGTCATAACTAAAACAAAGAACAAAACACTGGCAACATTTTTCAGATAGTTTGTAACATCCCTGTGACAACTAAATATGAATTTCCCTGATTGTTATATCTCACTGTTCGGTGGTGACAATGATAACCTAAAACACTGTCTCGGTTTTTATGAAATGTATGAAAAAATTTGCAACAAGAATTTTATATTGGTACACACATTGCTTTCAGATTTTGCGGACCTTCATACACTTCCTTTAAAATAGCTTTCTTTTTTTCATATTTATGTAACATTATTTTACTGTTGATTGCATTTTTACACCACACAAACTGCTTTGAGTACATTAAAGAAAAATATTTGAGATGTTTCAAGTAAATTAAATCTTAGCTATTGGGGAATATTGAGATTAAAATAATAATCATTATCACCCTCTGTAGACAAATAAAAAGCTTGGATAGTGAATTATTAAAAGATCAAGATTCCTTTAAGGCTACCTTGAACATCATAGTTCGTTTGTATTACAGTATCGTCCCGGGCGGGACCCTCAACGAGGCTCTGATAATGTCTCCAACAAGTCTTCGGACAGTGATGTCAGTGATGTATCAGCAGTCTCGAGAACCAGTAGTGCATCCCGTTTTAGCAGCACTAGTTATATGTCTGTGCAATCAGAACGGCCAAGAGGAAACAAGAAAATTAGGTAAGAAACTACAAGTCTGCTTTTGTCCTTTTTTCCATGAGTTGAGCTGGATCCCAGTACATATCTCTTCCAGTACACTTTCTGAAATTTCAGTGTAGCCTTCTGTTTCTGTTTACGTTCTTTGAAAGTAGGTTACTTACTTTCAAAACAGTTTACTAAAACTCCACACAATTTAAAATAGATGTTCTGGATTATAATAGCAAGTCATGTATGGATCTTAATGACTACATTTCATAAATGTATGTCATGGCAGTGTAACCTCATTATGATGTTCCTAAAATAGGCCTCTTCTAAAAACTTCCTCCCCCCTCAGTACTGCTTTAATTCTGTCTGTAGGAGAGCCAAATTGCCTTCCATGTGAACCAGGAAACTGTAGAGTTCATGATGCATTCATTATGCGTGTAGCTGTATGCACCTTCACATTCCTCCGGCAGACAAGATAATATTTAATGTTGGTAGTGGTTATGGATTTCACAAAGCCATAGAGCAGTATTACAGATGTGTATTTGTGTACAACACATGCCGAAAGATTCATAAATATTTTTGTCCTGACTTTTAAAGAATATCCATACAGATATTTTTGTCATTTATGTTATTGTACAGACTTCTTGCCATTTCTGCTCTTAAAAATAATAAGTCTATCTTAATTAGTTTGTAGAATTGGGCTGCATGTTTTCCCCCCCCATCATTGCCATTTAGTATTTATTTTGTGGCTGTCCTCTCCCACCCTCAATTAAGTAAATGTTTCAATTCTGTCTTGCTTTCCTAACTGGGTTCTGTCTTCTTTTTCATTTGCTTGCATGCTTCCTCAATTTTTGTTCGGAAGATCACATGAGGAAAGAAAAGAGGGAGGGGAGGAAGGGGATGGGGAAGTATTCCTTGAGAAAGAAGAGGAGAATCAGGAACTGGAGAAAAAGTTGGATGAACAAGATGATGAAAAGGGGGAAGGGGAGGAGGTGACAAAGAACTGTGTTGAGGAAGATAAAGAAGCAGAAGAGGATGAAGGGGCCCAAGAGGAGATATCTGAGGAAGGAAAAGAAACAAGCAATAAAGAGGATTTGCAAAGGAGATACTCACAGAATGATTTCAGGTAAAATTAGATCTCCATTTATTAGAGAGTTCTATCATTTGCAGTAACATTTTTATGTTTCCTTTTTGTGTCCATCATTACATTTTAGCTTATTATTTTAATAGTCAACCAATGTTCTATTTTGTTAAATTATTTTACAAAAGAAATAACAAATTACAGAAATGTTGCCCATTTTGTATAGCAGTGGTTCTCAACCTTTTCTTCACCATTGATCTCCTTTAAATACCTTTTGTAGCCATGGTTCATGGCCACGGACCCCAACACTTAACTCAAGATTTAAATCATAAGAAATCATAACAGATCTCATAACATCAGAACATTATTCAAGCCTTCGTAGACCCCCTGTGATGACATTGTGCCCCCCCCAGGGGTCCACGGACCACAGGTTGAGAACTACTGTTGTATAGTATAAAAATGAAGGCTAACAATTGGTTGACCTTGATTCACATTAAGCTGGAATTCATGAGATAAATATAGAAAGGACATCTAGTTTTAGATTTAGATTTAGATTTTTGTCATTTTAACAGAATTCTGTCATACCGACATATTCCATAATATAGAAATATAACATTCTGGAGCTATGCAGGTAACGTTCTTTAGGCAGAATGGATATTGATACAGATGGCCTTATGTGTCATTAATACAACCCATATGAAGAAAAGATAATAATTTTTCTTTATTTTTGTTCTCATAAAAGAATAATTTTATCAGTGAGGATAATAATGGATTACTCAAGTCATCCATTTTTTAATTTATGTTTAGAATCTTGCGGAAACTGAGGGAATGTACTATAAAATTCTATTCTTATTTGGCGGGGACATACTTTGATCAATAATTATTAATTCTATTATTAGTATTATATCTTTTAAAGCTTTCAGAAATAGGGATATTATTACAGGTTTTGTTTTCTGAACATGAGCCTCGTCACAAAATCACAGAATCATAGATCCTCTAGGAAGCCATTTAGGCATTGAATCTAAAACCACGTTAAGTGCAGTAATTAAAACTGAAATATCTTGGATGCTTGAATGCATCTATTGAAAATGAACCAACCATCTCTCTGGGTAACTGGTTCAACTGTTCAACTGGACTTTACTGTTTTTTTCTCCTAACATTTAATTGTAAACTTTTCTGTAGTTAGAGTACACTATTTGATGTCCTGTAATCTGTTATAATTTCTCCTGTGACATTCTTCCAGATATTTGGAGAATGTTAACATAACTCTCTTCTTCTTCAGATTTTTCTTAAAAGGTTTCAGTTTAGAAATGTGATTTGGAAAACAGATTTATATAGGTGTAACCTAAAATTGTGTCTGGATTTTTTTTAGACACACCATTCTACTGCAATTACAAAATCTTTTTCAAATATTAATGATAAGCCAAATAGCTCTTGTCCTATACTTGATTTATTTTTCCTAAGTGAAGACTTTGATTAAATCTCAGTCTATTGCTTTTGTCCATTTTTCCTACTTATCAAGATAATTTTAAATTTTACTTCTGTCTTTTAGGCTATTAACTATCTCACCCAGTTTTATGTCTTCTACCGATATCATAACTAGTATTTTCACCTTTTTATCCAAGTCATTAATAAAGGTGTTGTAGCTCAGTGGCTAAGACGCTGAGCTTGTTGATTGAAAGGTCGGCAGTTCAGTGGTTGGAATCCGTAGTGCTGCGTAACGGGGTGAGATCCCGTTACTTGTCCCAGCTTCTGCCAACCTAGCAGTTTGAAAGCATGTAAAAAATGCAAGTAGAAAAATAGGGGCCACCTTTGGTGGGAAGGTAACAGTGTTCCATGTGCCTTTAAGATCTCCAACCTCCGGGCATTTCGCTGTGCACTCAAGACCCTGTTGTTCCGCCAGGCCGGGCTATCAACATAATAATTTTAAATTGGGTGTTTTAAATTTCTGGGGTTTTAAATTGAGCCGAATTATTTAATAATTTTAAATTATTTTAATTGATGTTTGTCTTGTGCTTTTAATAGGCTATACAGCGCCCTGAGTCCTTCGGGAGAAGGGTCGTATAGAAATAAAATTATTCTTATTCTTATTCTTTGGCGTTTAGCCATGCCAGCCACATGACCATGGAGACATCTTCAGACAGCGCTGGCTCTCCGGCTTTGAAACAGAAATGTGCACCGCCCCCTAGAGTCGGGAATGACTAGTACATATGTGCAAGGGGTACCTTTACCTTTTTAGAATACTGGGTTCAAATCTGAACATGGTTGCATCCAGTTGGTATCTCTTTTCAGTTTGATGAAGAATCACATTTGAGAATTTTTCAGATCACACACAGGAGAAATACAAACTTTTCTTTCACTACTGAATTTATTTATATTTTTTATCAAATTTTTATGGTGTCCCATCACAAATAGCGACTCTGGGAGGCATACAACAATTAAAATAGTGGGCAAACAGTGCAATGGAAGTAGTTGATTATTTATTTATTTATTTTATTTTATTTTATTATTTAAATTTTTATACCACCCTTCTCCCGAGGGACTCAGCCGCAATAAAACACGTATGTCCGTAAGTTTAAAAATAGTTTAAAACATATTAAATAGTTTGGCCCTATATTAAAAAAAAACTAAAACACCCATTAAAATTCGTTATTAAGCTAGCCCAGCCTGTTGAAACAGTAAAGTCTTAAGGGCATGGCGAAAGGTACGTAGGTCAGGGATCATACGTATCTCCAGGGGCAATTCATTCCAGAGGGCAGGTGCCCCCACAGAGAAGGCTCTCCTCCTGGGGGTCGCCAGTCGACATTGTTTGACTGACGGCACCCTGAGGAGTCCCTCTCTGTGGGAGCATATTGGCCGGTGGGAGGCTATCGGTGGCAGAAGGCGATCTCGTAAGTACCCAGGTCCTAAGATTGAGTAATAACAGATCCTACCTCCTCCCCACCCTGTCCCTGTCCTCTCCATGTGTCTGATTTTTATGTCTGATTTTAATTTTCTATGTTTTAACTGTATATGTAACTATAAGCCATCCAGAGTTATCCTATGGTAAGATGGGCAGCAAATAAAATAATAATAAAATAAAGTAAATAAAATAGAATAATAAAAATTAAATAATAAACGAAATAAATAGAATAATAATAATAAAAATAAAATATTAAAATAAAATAAGATAAAATAAAATATTGAAAATGTACTGCTCTGGTCTTATCTCTTTTCCTTCTCCCTCTCCAGTAATAGAGAAATTGTTGGGCTTGATTGTATCATTTTTATTCAGAACAAAATCTCTGGGACATGAGAATTTATTCATTCATTCATTCATTCAATCATTCATTCATTCATTCATTCATTTGCTTGTTTGTCCAATTTATATGCCACCCTTCTCCGTAGACTCAAGGCGGCTTACAATGCATTATAGCAATAGCCTCCATACTTTTTTGTATATACCTGCTTATTAGGGCTTTTGGCCCCTCCTAAGCGGTGTTGTTCTATACAAAGTTGGCTTATTGCCCCCACAATCCGGGTCCTCAATTTACCTACCTCGAAAGGATCGAAGGCTGAATCAACCTTGAGCCTGGTGAGGTTCGAACTTGCACTAATTGCAGGCAGCTGACAGCTAAGTGCTAGCACTCAACAGCACTTTAGTCCGCTGCATCACCGAGGCTCTAGAATTGGCTGTAGAAATAACTGGAAAGGAATTCATAATGTTGGGATTGGGAATTTAAAAGCAGAGGATAATTGGACAGCATAAGGGAGAGAAGAAATGAGTGATGGTATGAAGGAAAATTTTGCCAAATATTTCTTGGGTGATAAAAGGCCATAAGAATCCAGAAGGCAGGAAAAGGCAGGAGCAGAAAATTTTCAACCTAGAAAAAAAATAACTCAATCAGTCCACAGGAAAAAACAAAGAAACCCTGTAATATCATTACACATATTCTGTTTTGCATGATTTTCATTCACTGTAGTTCCAGAGCAATTTTTTTAAAAGTGTAAAACATTGTGTATACTCTTGTCTTCCTATGTTCTACATTTGTATTTATGGGATTTTGTTCGCAAGTTTTAGGAGAACTGGAGTTTCAAGGATAATTTTGTTTCATCCTATCTAGTTTTGGAAATTGAGATTAAAGTCTAATATCCATAGATGAGACTAGCTTAGACAACAGGCATGAAAACAAAATTGGACGCACATCTATCTTCAGTTGATCCTGGCATAATACTGCCTCCTCTTTGGGAAAGCATTTGATACGAAACTACTGCAGGTTGCCAAAAAGCTTATAATGTAAGCTTTATTGGAAGTGTTTTCACAGATGATGCATATGTGAAATATATGAGTGAACTGTTTTTCTCTCCAAGCACAATTCAACCATACTTTTTTAAATGTATTTTTTTAAAGAAAATTTCCTTGAGAGGAAGAGTGGCAAGAGTTAAGATCTCATTGTCTCGCACTGGTCTTCTGTTTCAAAAGCATGCCTGTAAAGGTGACATTATATAACAAAACATTGCAGAAAAATTATATAATAAAATGTTGCAGAAAATGTTGCAGAAAAGTTTTTTCCTCTTCTGTTCAAGCATGTCCAGTTCTTGGAAACTTCCTAGAGAAATCCCTGCAGTTTTCTTGGTGAGGTTTTTCAGAAATGGCTTGTGATTGTGTACTTCCTAGGGCTGAGAGAGTGTGACAGGCCTGAGGTCACCCAGTTGGCTTTGTGCCTAAAATGGGGCTAGAGCTCACAGTCATAGTTTTCTACCCCTGCACCAAACCGGCTCTCAGTCTATAATAGAATATACTGAAAAATTAACAATATCCTTGTCAATTGACAACCACTCTTGTAAACAATAATACAAAATGACTTGCTAATAGAGATTACCATATTTGTAAAAGACAAAAAAAAAGGTTATGTTTAATTATGAGTACTGCATTAATTTTACTAACTTTCCCAATGGTTTTTCTAGTTATTTAAAGCCTCTTCATGCCCTATTTTAAATCCATTATCAGAGTCATTGGGGTTTTTTTAGTCATTATATATAACAATATATGTATTAGTTTTTAACTCCCATCATAGTTGCTTATTACAGAAATCTTTTCCACAAGCTTTCAATTTATTTAATAATATTGATCAGCAGTATATCATGTTACCTAAGCTTGTATTACAATTTTGCTTATTTCATGTATTTTTGATGGTTCGTTGCCTTAAATTTAAAAACATAGTGAAAATAGTTTTAAAATTTTTATGACATTTTTATGCACCAATTTCATTGATTCAGCTGAATTTTTATGTTCAGTTTAGCTTAATATACAGTATTTCTCTTATAGGAAACTTCAGTGTGTGTGTGTGTGTGTGTGTAAAATCTAAAATTATAAATGTAATTGGGCTACATAAATATCCACTATAACAATTCTAATGACAGTGAATTAAAGATCGTTTGTTTCCATTATAGGTTGGGGTGTCAAGGAAATTAACTTTTTAACTGGTTTTACACTCTTAAATTCACCAAGTATGCATGTCTGCAACATAATTCAACTATTCATTTCAGTGTAGGGCTGGTGTGCTTGTGCATATTCATATTAGCATATTTTTCAGATCATCCTTATCTTTACATTCTCTCTTTGTAAGTAAAGGCCTATTGAAGTTAATCAGAATATTAGCCAATTTGTTAGATTCTGTCTTTCTTGCAGGAGGTCAAGACAGCATACACAGCATCCGCTCATTTTTCTCACAAAAGTAAATAACACTTCAATTAATAATGCAACATAACATAACCTACAATTTGCATATATGTACACCAAATTGAATTTTTGTCAATCCCCCGTTTAATCTTTATCTCCAAGGGCCTGGACTAGAGATATTTGAGCAAAATAATGAAATATTTTATCAGAGATTGTTCCTTGAGAATTGCCAAGATAAATGTAATAAAAATAATACGTAGTTATTCAGCTGTTTATAAGAGTAAACTAACTTTCTGTGAGGCATGAAAACTATTTCTAAAATGCAGCAATTTAGACTATAGATTAGGATGCACATTATATGATTGAATATGCATATAATGTTAAAAATTACTTTCATGGATAATGTATTTATTTTATTTGTCTTGCCCAACAAATGTTTTCCTTAGCATGTTTCCCTAGCATTGAACAAGAATCTTGTCATTAAACAAGAATCTTGGGTAATGACTGATTGGACAAATATGCATACAGGTAGATTGGTCTCTCCTAGCTCCAAGCCTCAGTAAATCCACCCACCTTCGTCTTCCCTCTTCTGCCCTTTTGGCTGCTCTTGCAGGGAAGTCAGCAGACCCACAACTGTGTGGCTCTGTGATTGCTTGCCATACCCCAAGACACCAGAGCCATCACACTTCCAGTTGCACTTGCTGCCCTGTGCTCTACACCCCTAGCTGACTTACACTGCCATCTTCATGTCCTGCCACTTATGAGGCTTGCCTGGCCAGGGTGCCAGCTTGTATGGAACTGGCTTCATGCGGTGCGGTGAAAAAGAGAAAAAAAAAGTACTAAAAAATTGCCGCAGTGCCCCAAAGAACCACTTTGCACTATGCTCCTGCACCATGTGGGGCTGCCTTTGCAGTCTAAAAGGGGGAGCCAGAAGCAGCATTTCCCTCCTTTTCCATGGCAGCCCTACCCAGGAAGTCTTTGCAAAGAAATACCCCTTTGCAGGATTATGATTGCTTTGTGCTTTATCCCTGGGCAGAACCAGCTTCATACAGTTCAGCAGCTAGACTGGGCATGTCTCATTAGCAGCCGGAGCAAGAAGTATGGCAACAATGATCCAGCTGGGTGGCAGGTGGACAAATGGGGACAGATAGGTAGATGGGGGAGTTGCAACGCCCCTCTGGTTGTAAGTACAGAAGGGCTGGCAAGTGCCTGAACTTTGGTCACATGACTGCGGGCACACTCCAACAGCCAGACCTTCACAACATCCCTTTATTCAGCACCGTTGTAACTTTGAACTGTCACTGAATGAATGGTCATAAGTCAAAGACCACCTCTGTATTATTGATACTCATATATAAGAATAATGAACAATAAAAGCACACATGATGTATTTCTTTTTTTTTTTAATTATAAATTTTATTAAAACACAAATTTGACATTTACACAACATACGACATATAAATAGCTTATCCTTTTTAAGCATTATTTCATAGTGGTCTTCCATCTGTTACTTTATACTTCTTCCCTATTTCTTAATCTAATACTTCTTTTTCCCCTCCTTCTCCTTTTCTTCTCTTTTCCTTCCCCCCCTTTCCCCTATAGAGATCTATATATTTTGATTATATCTTTACTATTTTACAATTCTACATTCATATTATATACATAATTATACCACTCAATACATATAATATATATATTGTATTTCTGTTCTTCTCTCCTTGTATTTATTGTTCTTTATTGATAATGTTGAGCCAATTACACCATTTATTCCATACTCTGTAGTAGTCTGTCTCTTCTTTTTCTTTAATTTCTTTTGTTAAACATGATGTATTTCTTATATGGTTATAATATTACTGTTTAGCATACCATAATCGCAATGCCAGAGCTTTTCAGTAAAATTTACAAATAAGTTTTGTGATGAGACAAAACAATAACTACAAACTTATTGTACAATCAACTGCAAAGAAATGTGAATCTTTTCAACTTCGGTGACAAACCAATGTCTGTGTGAATTAATTGCTTCTCCCAAAAGTCATCCCAAACCTTCAGTCTGAAACCTTCTTTTACTGACTTCTTTTTCTTTTATTTATTTATTTCTTTTATGGCATTGTCTATCCATCTCCTGGCTGACAGTGTTTTCACATCTAAAATGCAAAGCAGACAGATTGGCGCTTCAGGACAGAACATAACTAAAAGCACCAGCATCAGTGGGGATATGTATACACTAGAGAAGAATGATGGCAGCCAATCTGACACGGCGGTGGGCACTGTGGGTGCAAGTGGCAAAAAACGGCGATCCAGTATTGGTGCAAAAATGGTAGCTATCGTGGGACTTTCACGGAAAAGCAGGAGCACCTCACAACTCAGCCAAACTGGTAGGATTAAAATTCCAGTTTCCATTCTTTTGTTGTGCGTGAACCTTGAGTTTATAATCTACCTTTTTAGGGGAAATTTAATGTAGTTCAGAATGTTTATGATTTATGAAAATGATTGCTCAGCATTTCTTTAGCACTACCACAGTATTGGGGCTAAATGCAAATCTGAAGGTCTAAATTTAGAAAAGGGAGAAATGTTCTCTATTCATCACCATTAGATGGAATGCATTGCTATAATGAATGCTTTGTAAGAGTGTTTGCAGCATATTTCGAAACAAAAATGTTTATACAGGAAAACAAAGAAGTTTACAAACAAAAGCCAAAAAATATATTTATAAATAATCCCTTTTCATCCAGTTTATTGTTAACTTCCATTTAGATTAATGTTTAACTTCTGCTGAATATTGAAGACGTTAATTTATTTCTTTTTTAAAAAACTTGTTTTTTAAACATTAATATTTTATTTTCAAATACAATGCCAAAGCAAATAATATAATGTATAAATCAATGTTTCAAAATGGTCTATGAATTAGATAATCAAAGTAACGATATGAAACATTTTAATAGAAAAAGTTCTCTGTAGGACATTGTTGCTTGATTAAGCATGATTGAGGTTTTTCCTACTTGATGTGCAAAGTTATGTAACAATCTGAAATAGAGTTTTAAATAGCAATACTTATCTTTGAACTGTCAGGATGCAGTTATGGTGCCTTAATCTCTCTGTTGCATCCTTTGCATAGCTCAGCCCCTGTGAATGAATAACTCAAAATGTATCCCTCTTAATGGTTTCAGACTTTCAGTCAATCAGCATTTCATCTACAATAAGCACCACTAAGTCTGGCTTTCGGTTATTATTTATCATATATTCAAAGGAAGTGGTTGACTTATGTCCTAATTTCTATTATATAGCAACATTATATAACATAGTGGTTGTATGGATTAGAGGAGAGTAATTTGAGACAGATCGTACTAAGGACAATGCAAAGTTGCTTGAAGAATGACTATTTCCGCTTACTAGTGCTAGCACTAAACATAAAAAGCAAGTAATTGTCAATTCAACCAAATTGTCAGTTCCCCAAAATATATACGGTTATATCTATAAATACTAAATATTTGTACAGCAAAAGATGTACTTAATGTCTTCAGTATAACATTCTTGCAATTTCAATATAACTGTATTTGAAGATGTATTCCTACTGTATCTGTTCATTTATATAAAGCATCTATAAGCATACAGGTAGTCCTTGAATTATGATGGTAATTGGGACTGAAATGTTATGTGGTCACATGAATGTATCGCTTAGCAATGGCAATCCCATTGCTCACCATTGCCATAGCTAATTGAATCCCACTGGATTTTAGGTGAGGATACATCCTGATCAAGCAAAGTTCAGATGGAAATTGATGAATGGGCATTTTTGTATATATGAATATTTTTGTTCTGCAGGTGTTTATGTTTAAAACAAAGTATTAGTAGAAATCATCTCATTTGACTGGCATTGTTGAGGAGTGTTGAGGAGTTAGGCCTGGCCTAACTTTCTCCCTCTTTTTAAACATTTTTAATATTTTTAAATATTTTTTAGTATTTTTAATATTCAAAGTTTAAATTTGTTTTAAATTGATTGGGGTTTTAAATCTGTCTGGGCCAAACTATTTAATTCGATTTTATCTCTGCTTTTTAAATTTTGTATGTATGTATTTTATTGTTGGCTGTTCACCGCCCTGGGTCCTTCGGGAGTAGGGCGGTATATAAATCAAATAAAAGTAAAGTAAAGTAAAGAGTGGAATAATAAGTACTGTACTTCAGAAGATAAGTGCAGAAAATAAGGATGGTGACTTCGACAGAAATATGCAGGCAAAGAGGGCTGAAGCATTTTTAAGCCCTGGAAAACAGGATAATATTTGGAAGAGATTTAGGCAAAGGTCTTCCTTATCTGCTACATTCACTAGAGTATAAGGGGGTAATAATCACATTATATAGATAAAGCACAAAATATGTGTACTTGTCAAATTTTCAGAATGTTTCATTTTCTCTAGTTATTTGTTTCTTCTATCCTTTTCTGTATTTTCCTGAAACTTTGTATATAATTTTATGCATGTATCTCCTAGACTTTTCCTTTTCTAATTCTTCCTTTCTACTACTGTAATTCATGCATTTTGTCCCATGTATTCTTAATATAAACATTCTGTATACATTGCTATGCAATTTTAGAGATGTATATTACAATGTCTGAGACGTGCTAGTACTGAACAAATAGCAGCATTGCAATTCACATCAAATATTGATAAATAACTTGTATTATATACAAGCCTGTATCAGAATATGAAGTGAATGATACTCTCTTTCATCCTTAGCAAAGAAGTATTGAAAAAAATCTTTTGTTTTTATTAGTTTTTAACAGCAATTTTAATAAGCACTTGTGTGATTTGCACATTTATATCATGGAGTTGGTTTACCACAGACATAGGTATATATTGGAAGAACCAGTCATTTAAATTTAATGAGTTATACTATGTTCTATTTTCTTTATACCAGATGGAATGGGAGGAATAATTATTACCATCTCTGCTAAAAGTTTTGTAGTCTTTTAACGGGAATGATAGCTCTTTGTTTAAGAGTCTTAGAGTGATAGGATAGATTTATCGGAAGACTTCAGAATCTTTATATTTAAATGCCATAATTCAGAAATTTATTTCCTTTGTCTCTTAAAAAAATGACTTAGTTTGCTTTAGATTTTAAAATGGGGTGGTGGAGGATCACCTTAGATTTGCTAGGAATATAGTTAGGTAGGCAAATGATACTTCCTTCCTCATCCTCCTGGTTTTTTTTGGTTGGGGATCCTACTAAATTGAGAATTACATATACTGTCCATATGTTCTAAATAATACATTAGAATATTTCAGGGTAACAATTATGTATTCATACTTCTTGTTCCAAAAATGTACAGGGCCATTTTGGAGGGTATTTCTGGAGTTTTAAGGGATGAGACTGATTTCTTAAGCATCTACAAAGCTTACGCTATTAACCCTTAAAATGCAAAGCTTCCTTAGGGAAAAAGAAATAAAGCATCTAAATTTTTTCTTCCTTGTACACAATGAGAGAGGCTCAGGGTCTGTAAAGGAAAGACATCTTGCTGTACCTTTTAAACTTTCTGTAGTAAGAAATCACACCAAAAGAAATTTTTGATTTTCCTGTAGAATATTTATTTGTCAAAGTTTTATTCAAGAATGCCATACTGTTCTCTCATGAAACATTTAATGGGGCCCTTTGGATATAAGTTGAAAAACATTTCCTTTCTATAATACTAACTTGGTAACTTCATCAAGCATTCCTTATGGCATAAATTAGAGGAAGTAGAACAAGATCAACAGTAGCAGGGGAAAAAAAAATCAACTTGCAAATTAATACCAACAAATGTGAAGATCCAGAGCAAGATGATTTGGAAGACTGATAGGAGAAATGGACTAACTTGTACTAACTGAACGATAACTCAGTAGAAATGCAGAGAGAACAAACGAGAGAAAAAAAGAAACAAAATTAAAGAACGTAGTTTTAGTCAGGAATACTGAGGGAGAAGAGGTTGCCTCAGTGGTCCCTGTCTTGTGCAATGCTTCAAGTCCTTCTGTCCTACTTTTTAACATCCATATGAAGCCACTAGGAGAGGTAATCTGACCATTTGGGACATGATATCATCACTGTTCTGCTCTTATCCAAGTAAACATTCAAGAAGAGATGTCATTGACCTCTTATCTTGGGGGGAAGGTGTAGACCTCTGGATGGAAGAGAATAGATTTAAATTGAACACAAGCTGTACAGTTACTGTTACTGTTTATACATTGCAGTTCTCCATTAATACTAATATTATCTCTGGACAGGCAAGTTCTATTTCTGAAGGAGTATATTTGTGGTCTGGGGACTTACTGGATTCACGGCTTTTTGAGCAGCAAGTGAAAGCAGTGGTTACAGAGATAATTGAACATTTCCCATTTATGCAACTTTACCTGATTACAATAACAGCCACATTACCACCACTATTGCAATGTGGCCCACAAATTTATATTATTTATATTTATTTATTTATATTCCATATTTCTAAAATGCCCATCTCTCTCAGGCAGGGGCTTTGGGCGGTGTACAATATAATATTGGACACAAATGCTTTAAAGACTACTCAGAAATTACAATTAGTCCTGGATACAACTCTGGATGCTGCAAGCATGTTACACCTATGCTGCAGGACTTTCGTGCAGGTGGCTTCTAGGTACAGTTAAAGTGCTTATTCTATAAACTTGGTTATGGCTTGGCATCTGGGTATCTGTAGAACACTGAGGTATTCCAACAGGTGGAAACTGTCCCTAGTTCCCAATTCTTGGAAATGAAGGCAAGAAGTTCTACTTTTCAATAGTAGTACCAATCTTTTGGAACAATTTCCTGGTGGAGATCAAACTATTTTCCTTCTTGAGGCTGCTGAAGAAGGATGCTGAAAACCAAATTATTCCAGAGATCATTCTAACTAACAGGTGCTTTAGCTATCTTTTATTTGTAGAGTTACATTATTGTTATTTCTTAATGTTACTCTTATCTTGGTTTACTTGAACTTTGTGGCTTATTTTGTTATAAAAACATTTACTGTATTTTAAAATTTAACATGGATGTATTAATGTTTCCATGTTATGGAAGCTGCCAAGAATTCCTTGGATTGTGTCAGTATAGAAATGACATAAACAAACAGATAAGTACATTGGTTTTTTTTTTTTCCGAAACGAGTTAGAACATTATGACGAACAGTTCAGACAAACATTCTTGGTTTGAAGAAACTTCTGAGAAGTCTTTTAATACTAGGCATGTTAAACTCAAAGTGGTTCCTGGCAAACCTGGCATTCATTTGGGAAAGAAAATGGTCATCGCAGCTTCAACTTTGATTTGTTTTCAGAGTTGTGATGGCCTAAATAGATGTCTATATTTTCAAAGGATGAGCAAATGAAAAATAACTCATATA